TTTTGTGTATGTACTTAGCTGTACTATAAGTAGTTGGTTTGTATGAGATGGTTAAAAAGGCCAAAGATAAAAGGTTTCTTTTTTTTCCTTTTTTGTCTATGAAGTTGCTGTTTATTTTTTTTGGCCTGTTTGATGTATGTGTGAAACAATGTTGTCCAACAATAAACCGGAATTTTATTTTGCTGAGTTGTTCTAACAAAGCTGTCTCAAGCCTGGTTTTTCTGTTTCAGTTTCTTTAGACTTTTCAGGGAAGGAGGGGAGGATCTTACCAGGCCTAGCTGTCCTGGGGACAGCGGGTTGGAGGGTTGGTGGTGACTTTGGGCAAGGCATCTGGTGGGGGGGGCGGTCAGGAACTGAGCTGCAGTTGGCTGGAGGGGGAGGCCCTGCTTACAGGCTTATAGAAGCCTTTCATGGAGTGACAAAGAGTCCCATCACTGGCTACCACGTGTGGGTCCTGGTGCCCTGGTGGGTGGTGTCAGCCTCAGAAGCGGGCCACACGTGGGGCTGCCATTCTGAGGATCAGGCGGAGAGTGTTCTTGGGGCCAAGGCTGCCGAGTTGCCTCCTAGTGGTGGCCTTGCGTTTAGGGGTCTTGCCTGTTGAGCTCTGGCGTGAGGCTCCCCCTGCTGGTGGCACTTGTAACCTGCCAGTCCCTTAGGCCGGAGGAGCTCTCGTTTTCCGGGAACTGATGCAACCTGGCCCTCATGTCCAACCTCTGGCCTCCAGGAGGCCTTGCTTAGTTGGGCAGGCCCACCTTGCCCCTGAGCACAGTTGGAGTGATACTGGGCCACTTTGGTTTGCACACAGGTCTGTAAGTCTGGACAGCCAGCTGGAGGAAGTGCCACCTCGGCCTAAGCCCTTGGGAGGTGAGGGCTGGTGATCAGAGCCCACCAAGAATTGGGTTCAAAGGTGGGCTTCAGGGGCAGAAACCCCTGCAGGCCTCAGGTGAGCCTTGAATGGAGACTCCATTCTCTGGGGTTCTGGCAACAGGCCTCTGATTTTGAGGGTAAACTTTGGTTTTCAACAGCTCCTTAGAGCCTGATCAAGCTGCCCTGGGAGAGAGGGAGGTGAGTAGGGGGCCCAGTGCATGGGCAGGCTGCAGCACCCACTGCTCCGGGAGACGTGCTCAGGGAGATGTGGTCCTGGTGATGAGCTCCTGGGCATGGACAAGAGGGTAGGACTAGGAGAGGTTCTGGCCTTGCTTCAGGAGGACCGCTGCTCAGCCTGGAGTGCCTTCAAGGCTGTCATGCGAACGGGTGGCTCTAGGCGGGGGAGGACGTGGGGACTGAGAAGTCACAAGTGTGGACCCTTCTTAACCACTCCTGCCCCCAACACGGGCGATGAGGGGTTTTGCCTCACTTTGGAGCTGGTGAGGCACGGCAAGGGGCGATGGCACACTGCTTTGCCACAAGAGAGCCCCGTCTGCATGAAGGAGTCACCAGGATGCCTACAGCCTTATGAAGAACCAAGACAACCTACACCTCCAGTGATCGGACAGTCAGTACCCCATGCACAATGGGACCTGATAGGGAGGGCTTCCTTGGGGAGGTGGCATTTAAGCTGGAGGCCAGGGAGCAGTGCACAGGCAGGCTTCTGGATCAGGGAGGCACGTGCCAGGGGTGGGAGGTGGGAGGCAGGGGCCAAGACCAGCACCATCTGTGGACCCGTTACAGACTGATTTGGGGCAGCCATGGAGGGGTTTGGGGGGAGGGGTTTGGGG